GAATTTGGCCGCTGTCAAAGCCAGAGCACTAGTCACGTGCTGCAACTCGTCCGCACTGCGTGCAAACTACGCACAGTCGTCTGTAAACAGCAACATCCGGATAGTTATCTCATAGACTAGCGTTCTCGCACCGAAACGACGGATGTTCAGTAACCCACCATCAATACGGTGCTTCACGCGAACACCGTAAGCACAAGCCGCATCAAAAGCATAAGACGTAATTGCATGAAGATAAATATTAAACAGGGAAGAAGCTAAGACACAGCCTTGCTTCACACCAGACAACTGCAAATTCCTCCGAGGTCTATCCACTCAGCTGCACCCTCACCCGCATACCACTCCGCAGACATTCAATTAAACTTAGAAACTCACGCGGGCAACCAAACTTACCCAACACTAGCCAAAATGCCCTGCGGTTCACCGTATCGAATGCCTTGGTGAAATCAATAAAACAACAGTAAAACCGTTGTTGTCGTTTTCAGCACTTTTCCTGCAAATGACGAGCCGCAAACACCATATCTATAGTGCTGGGACCCGAACGGAATCCACACCGCTCTTCCGCCACGTTAGGTTCCGCAACCTAACTGACGAGGCGGTTGAGCAGGATTCGGGCAATCACCTTGCCCGCACAACTCAGCAAGTTGATGCCACGATAATTCGTGCTGCATTGCTTTCTCCTTTTGGCCTTGTACGGTGGTAGCACAAGGGTAGCCTTCAGTTCAGGAGGCACCTTCTCCTCAATCCATCAGCGTTGCACCAAGTGGTGCAGCGCAGTCACCACCGTGGTCCGCCGTGTTTTACTATATCAGGCGGGATCCCGCCGGCACCGGCACACTTGCCGTTCTGCAGCCGAGCAAGTGCTCTCTGCGTCTCATCCAGTGTCGGCGTGTCCGCTAGACTCGTCTTAACATCATGCTGCTTTAGACCGCTCAAAGTAGGCCAGTCAATCTCTGAACGGTTGTTCAAGAGACAGTCAAAGTGATTTCGCCAGATCTGCATTATGTCTGCAGACTGTGTGCACGCAGCGCCTGAGCCACCATCGATTAGGGTCCTCAGCCGCTCCAATCTCGGTCCATACATCGCCTTCAAGGAGTCAAAGAATTCCTTGTGTTGGCGGCGTTCGGCGTAGCATTCCATCTGGTTCGCCTTCTCTGTCCACCAGGCATCTTAATACGACGGAGCTCTCTAGTCCGTTGCCGTCGAAGTTTGCGAAACTGTCTCTCCCTACCCAAGTCACTGGGGTCTGCCACATGTGCAGCAAATGCTGTATTCTGCTCTGACACCAACGCGCCACTCATCGCATTCTTCTCATCAAACCAATCACTGCTGATGGCCGCTTCAGCAGCAGCTGTCACCTGGTCGTGAATGTGGTGCCATAGGTCGCCCAATGTGTCTATATAGTCCACATCACACAGGAGTGCAGCCATCGCCTTCTCCGGCTCAATACGCTTCTCCACTGTACCGAAAGAGAATGTTAAATTTACGCCGGTTCACGGCAGGAGTGCGAAACAAAGATTTGCCAAAATATATGTGCAGTTTCGTCTGCACCAATTTGTGATCATTGCCACACTCAGCTTCACACAGTACAAGTGTAATGCGTACTTCAGGCATATCGCGCTGACGTACGATGACATAGTCGAGCAGGTAAGCGTGACCATTCCGTGGGTGCGTCCAAGTTGCTATATCACTCGCACTCAGTGCAAACCGAGTGCTCGTGGTCGTCAGGGCAGGGAGTGGCACATAGTGAGAGCAGCCTGTCACCGTTCGCATTCGCTGAACCAATGCCATGCGAACCGATAACGTCTGTCCACACCGATGCATCACGCCCAACGCCCGCGTTGAAATCCAGCAGAAATAGTCGGTCGCTCCTCGGCACAGACCGTATCACGGAGGATAGCTCAGTGTAGAACTGATCACGCGTGTCATCAGGATAACACATGGTCGGACCGTCCGTGCTTACCAAAGTGGCAAACTTACTTCTTCCAAGTCATAAGCGAACAGTCATCGGTCGCGCGACGATGCCTGTTTGTCCACCCACCAGTTGGCCATTTAGGCTATCGGATAGTGCAAAGCCGACCCTACCTTCAAGTGGTGCTGAGGCGGCGTTGCCCACCCAGTAGAACGTATAGCCGACACCTGCTTCATGCAACTTACCTTGCTCAGCGAGCCGCGTTTCACTGAGCGCCGCAATATCAATGTTGTAGCGCGCCAGTTCCATCGCGACCAGTGCATTGCGTCACTCGGAGCGCTCACTCGAGTTCTGGTCCAGTAGTGAGCGCACGTTCCAGCACCCGATGCTGAGTGCTTTGCGCGCAGGCATACGATTGCATTGGTGGGCAATCACCCGCGTGGTGGTGATTGTGCTTCGGAGGTTTGCTTGAAGGACTCCGCGCGGAGGCTTTGACTCAATAGCTTGATCCACAAGGCAGTAGGGAGCAGATGCAGCTCGAAAAGGTGATTGCAGCGACAGATTTGCATCTGATTGAGATCTGTCACACGCAACCTTTGGAGATCCGGAACAATTCGGCTATATTCTACGATCGCAGCAGGATACGTATCTGCGACCACGGCCAGACGAAGGTGGGTTTTTGGCGGGTTTGCACCAATTTGGCCAATGACTGCCTGGTTTGAGGATGGCAGTAACAAACAATTGAGTACCCGAAGGTGCCCTCCCACCGTCAGGGAAAATGTGTGGCGCTCGTGCTCTACTCCAATCGAGAGCTGAGCTTACAACCCGTAGACCTGTTGTCTCCTGTGGCTAGGCGTTAAGGGAAGAGGGCCATCGACCATGTCCTAACCTCCGAAGAGGATGTGATTTGGACAAGGATACTGACAGAGCGCCCACACCTGACAGCAGAACGACTCGGGTCCTCAGCCAAAGCCTTCGATTAAATGTACACCTGAAAGGCAAAGGGTCGAGCACATGGTCAGTCCACCGACTCATGCGGATTAGTGTCCTGGATGTTATCTAGGTGAAGGGCGTAACCCACCTCCCACCCAGCAGTCATCACGAGGAGGTATCCAGGACCAGAGCCCATGGCACAACAGTAGCAGCAGTGGGTAGACCATCTGTCAGGATCTAGCAACCACCAACCTCAGCGCGCCATTGACTCTCCCGGTATCATATATACATATATATATATATATATTGCAGTATATATGATTTAAGTACTGTGAGAGCATAGGGGCGGGTGGTCCCATGCTACTTCGAACACAGAATTCCAGAAAAGGAGCTGAGCACACAGGGCATTAGGACGCAGGTCTCAAGCTTTGCACAGACTCCGGCTCACGTAGCGTAACAGCGAAGAATCTCTAAGCGGTCGATCTCTCACAGGGATAACTTTTCATTGGCAATGTTTAAGTGGTTCAGGATAACGGCCGGTTACTGATCGCTAACCGGGGACAACTGACACTGGATCAGGACAGATTGGGAACTTAAGGTGTGCACTATTTTATAGATGGATCATGGAACCATGTGAGGATGTAAAGGTTCTGTTGATAGGACGAGACGTACGGTTTTATACTCGCTCAGTTTAGTCCAGTAGTACGGCATAAAATGCTTAAATGAGTTTGCACGGCAACTAAGGCAATCCAGGATAATTTGTGGAGCACCAAAGGGGTCTGTTTCCTCCTTCTCTGCGCCAGAATTAGCAAGTAGATTTGCAAGGAAGGCATATCAGAGTATTTTGATGTTGGTCATGGAAGATTTGAAAAGTTTTCATTCTGATTTCTCCAGTATATGATTGACCTTTTCACGTCCATACACCTCCTTGCTTTAGTAACTGAAGATCCACATTTTTTCGTAAAAAATTTGGGTTGCTTGACTAATTCAATTTCACTCCGAAAATTCGAGCACTGAGGAAGTACCAAGAACAGCATGCAGCCGACGCAGTCACCGTAACACAATCATTTCTCTGTTAGATATTTCGCGACTCATAATTATGTGATCAAGTATTGCATGGCTAGACCTCCGTATTAGGGCTGATACGCTGAAAGACCTACGGTGGGAAGGTCTACGTGGAGCGGCCGGTAACATGAAAGTTAAAAGTTAATATCAGTGTTATGCACTGAAGACAGTTTCACGGTGGCAGTGGTTCAGTAGGGTATGGAAACGTCTGCGTCCAACCCCTGTCACTGACCACATCGTGTGTATACTCTCATGTGGATACGTGTGGGACATGCGATCGATCATTAGACGCTGAGGATTGTCCTGTTCCCTATTCCACGTTTCATGTGACCAAGTTGATGCACCCATGCCAATGATTTGCGTCCTTAATTTTATCATCTAATAGCATTCAGTGGACTAATAGTGTTTGTGCTTCTTATTGGCTGCCTCGCCTATACGTATATGCGACCTCGCTTTAGGTGCTGCAATCGTTGTTCCGCTTTTCTACTGTGTTCATGCAATCGTTCGGTTACAACATCGGTTATCCATCTCATCCGGTACAACAGGGGCCAGAAAACTTATATTACAATGGCTATACAATTCCGCTGGTATTTGGGATATCCTGCAGCTATATGTATGTGATCGGTTTGGCTATAGAATTAAAGATTGGTAGCTCAGGTTGTTCAGATGACGGTTGAACTGTTCGCTGAGCTTGGCAATTTTGTTGCAAAGGTTTCGTCACCAGTAGAGATGACCTCATCAGTGCGTAGTTGGTTGGCGTGCAGGAGCACAGAGTAACGTGGAGCGTACTCTCAACTCTGATCCTCCACGCTACTCTACACTACTGCACACCAACCAACTACCTACTGATGATGTCATTTCGATTGGGGATGAAACGTTCGCAACCAAATTGCCAAACTCACTGAACAGTTCAAGCGCCATGTGATAGGTTTGCCATCACGAGTATATATTGCGTCCCTTTGGGAATTAACCATATCCATAACGTGATCGCATCAGAACCCGATAGATATAATAGGAAAGTTATAGATCTACAGTGAAAACCATGGCTACTAATGTAACACACTAAAATGTATCTCCCATCCACAGTTCCTACCTCATTTCCAGTTTCCTTGTCATCCTTCCAAGAAGGTCTTCCATTGTTTGGCGGTGCCTCCACAGCATGCCCATTTTCATTTTGTAATTCTAGCAGAAGCTGATCAATTTCAGCCAATCGTGACAATTTTCGTGGGCTTCGGAGTTCGCTAAACTTGAAGATGCTCTGCCTGGCTTCTTTGGGCTCCAGCAAGCGAAGTGGTTCTTGGCAGACAGATAGACTAGTTTGCTCCTTCGCATTGTCCAACGTGGGCCACAGCATCCATGTCTTCTTACCAGTTAAGTGGCTGGTGGAAACTATCTCCATCATCTGAACTCAGAGTTGTCAAAGCATCAGGATGTAAACGTAAATATGTTGTCAAAATTGCGATCAATGAAATAAAACTTACGACTTGGTTTTTCGGATATTTTCCAATTGTTCACCAGGCTGGTCATTTAAACAGCAACCAAATGTAGACTCTAATGTCTTCCGATCTATTAACCCAAGGTAGTCGTTGAGGCACACCCTTCAGAAGGATCCAGTGTTCAAACTAATGGCTATAAACAAAATTACCCTCGGATGCAGCTCACCGTGCACAGAGCACTTATGTGATTCACGAGATAGAAGAGCTGGTTGCGAAAATCTAAATCCATCTCAGTCAGTTTTCTGAGAGTGAGTACAGATCCTAAAGTAATCGTCTGCATAGGACCACGTACGGGCACGTTCCGTGGATCCAACCTAGTCTTACCTCTGGAGCAGTGACGTATACCTACGGCGGAAGATGCAGCGAAGCGACCTCGTGGTACTTCAAGCTTTATCACTTCCGCCGACTGTGCGACTGATCTGACGAAAACACAGTTGCGAGTCAATGAGGCTAGCCACTCAAGTAACGGTAGTCGATATAATGATTATTGGTTCAGACTAGGTAATAATAGGCTTCTACGGTGCAGAAAGTAAGTTTGACTTCAGGAACCAACACATTTTTACTGCACAAGTTACGGCATGACAACTTAAAAGCTAAGTTAGTATAGGAGGTGTAAAACTCATCAAACTCAGTGAACCTGGCAGGAGAACACGCGACGCAAGACTTGCATGTGGTTTCAGCACCGAGCACTAGATTTAATTTCACTCTCTTCAGTAAAACTGTCATAGAGCTCGCGCCTTCGTCACTCTCTCTTCTGTTATTGTAACGACACTTTTTAAATGCCGCTCACGGTACGCTGATTTATAGTCCGTAAGCATCGCTGTTTAAACATATTACCACAAAGATTTGCTGTTTTGCTAATGATGTTCGTCTGCTGCAAGTAATTCGGACTGATCGTTTTAAGAATCCATTATAACAAACGCAATAATACTATGCATAAACCCAGTCAATGCTAACTGCAACACAGACCGAGATTCCTTTATCAAGCTCAACATCAACAACGGGAGTACATCAGCCACTGCAACTGATGTTGCGCTGCCATACAACCTTGATGACCTAAAGAATAAAGAATACTAAGTGGGATAGAAGGGAGACTTACCTGAATACCATAATGCCCTATGCAAACATCCAGTGTCAAGGCGCCTACACTTTGTATAGACAACATACCGTTACAAACTGCTGGGTATCGTGCAAAGCTAAAGCGTCATAGGCGAGACAGCTTCCTTGCGGCTTTCACTGCCCCACGACATAACCAGCCATTACCCCATAGATAACTTAGCACCAAACACACTTTAAACAGACAATCCAATTAGGAGAAGGCAGCAGACGCGCCACTGGTGTCGGTTGCGCGCCATGTCCTGTGAAGTCCCGAGCCAAGCACAAGGCGAGTCACCTGAACTCCAGCCCGGAAGGCGAGACGGACCAACGGCACCCAGTTTGGTTGTCAGTGACTACATTTCACGCTACCAAGTCAACTTCTGTCCACCTCGAGCCTTGCGGCACCCTACACCTGGTAGAGTGAACAAGCTCCTACTAGGTGAGCGGTGACCAGCCATCCGTAGCACGTGCCCAAGCCAACGCAACTTACTTAGTGCGATTTGTTGTTCTAGGGAGCTAGCATGATTATCACTGCCCCTAGTACTAGCCTACGCACATCATCGTTGCGTACACCCTGGTGCCATCCGGCACCAACAATGCTTCCCAGGAAAAGATGATCAAAGAATTGAAGGCGCCTCACGTTTTCAGACCTAAGGGGTCAAGTCTCACTACCATAGAGCAGAACGGCCCTCACTGTGGCCTTGTATATTTGGCCATTCAGACTGAGGGAAACCCTACTGTCGCCAAAGATGCGGTAGGTTTAGGAAGGCAGTTCTGGTCTTTGCAATGCGTGCACTGACTTCAATTTCTTTGCGCCCATCGTTGCTAATGCAGCTGCTATGATAAGCGAATTGATCAACCACCTCGAGTTCCTCGTTAGCAGGCGTCACGGATTCATAAACTGGCTGGTGGTCCTGCAGCAACACTTTGCACTTTGAAGGTGCGAAGCGTAAACCAAATAATTGGACCACTCTAGACAGACTATTCAGAGTTGATTGTGCCGCCGCAACATCGTCGGAAAGCAAGACGATATCGTCCGCATACTCAAGATCAACTAACCTGAAGAGGCTAGTTACGCTCGACCAATGGTGTCTTCGCACTTTAGCTCACATCTGGTGGGAACACCGCGTGAGCAACGAGCGTGTTCGACGCCGTGTTTACAGCACAGGAAAAGGAACTGAACCGCTCAGCACCGTTATTTCACGCACCAGGTTCCGATGGCTCGGCCACTTGTTATTCATGCCAGCCCACCGACTCCCGCGACGTGCGTTTACGCACCGGTGGTGTGGATGGAAGAGGAGGATGGGAGGCCAAGCGATGACTTGGTCCAGAGGAATGAAGGCCCCCACATCTGAGCTGACCTCGGTTGGAGCACCTCGGCTCTCTGGTTGGGGTCCGAAAGACGATGAACACGTTTGGCAGGATACACTTACTGATATGACTAGGAGCCGACCTCAGTGGCATTCGTGCTGTGAGTTCCTTGTCCCAGCCCATGCCTCTTAGCCTTTCCCTCCAACCACGATCTCAATATTTAGCCTTATATAATTCTGCATAGTAATTTTTGTTGTTGCACAGTAGCCGGCTGGTAGCTTACCGGAACGATGCCCATCCGTTACCGGTAGCAGCTGGCTTGCACCTGTTTCGTTTTATTTCCTCTTTTTCTTCTAAGTATTGCGGCACGGTAGTTGAGGTGTTTCCCACCTCTTGCTAACGTGTATAATGATGACGATGAATCTTTCACCAGATTGGACCTCAACGCCTGCATAGTGAAGTTCCTCAAGGGAACACTCCATGGTAGAGTCCACAACGAATTTGAACGAAAATGGGGGAATCGGATAGCCCTGACGAACGCCGCCTGTGGCCGGAAAGCTATCCGACAGGTCACAGTAGACTGACGCGGCCTTTAGTGTTCGAGTATAGAGTACGTAGGATGTTCACATATTTAGCGGGAACAGCTTTCCGCGCAAGTATTCCGAACAGAATCGATCGATCGACCGAATCGAACTCACTCTTGGAATCGAGGAACACAGTTGTTGTCGTTCTGCGGTACGCGTGGCGCTGCTCTAGCACCTACCGTAAAGTGATTATATGGTCTATACAGCCACGTCCTGGGCGGAAATCGGCCTGCTCTTCCCTAATCCCAGATTTCTGTTCCACAGTGAGGCGATGAATGAGAATCGTGGCTAGTAATTTTGTCACAACTGGTGTTCGGCTAATACCCCTGTGGTTAGCGCAGTTTGTTCGACTACCCTTCTTGTATATTGCCACTATAATCGATTCGCTTAAGTTAACCGAGACCCTTCCTTCAAGATACGTTCGTTTAGGGTGGTCAGTGCTTTGCAGAGGACCATACCTCCATCCTTAAATAGTGCAGGTGGGAGGGAGTCTGGGTCAGCGGCACGTACACGATTGCGGGCGGTGATCGCGTTACCGAGCTAGGCCTCCGACGGAGGCTCTAAACTAACCGTCCATGGCTCTTCCTCCATCACCTGAGTATGAAGAGGTTCTGGAGCAGCGAGCCAACTGAATTGACCTGGAAAGTATTCCGCCCAACGAGCTATACGGCGTTCCTTATTGTGTATCAGTGCATTTACGCTGTCGCTGAGGGTCTCACTGACGCCTGGTTTCCTGGGACCAGTGGTGCAGATCAGCTGAAGGAGCTTAGAGTCATTGCTTACTGCTCCTGCTTCCTTCATTTCTTGAGCCCGACTGGTCCACCAGACTTCCTTATCAGCATGTAGGATCCTCTTTAAACGCGTCTAATCGTTCGTCTGGTCACTGTGCTCAGAGCCAGCCGGGAGGTTTCTTCTGGATTCCAGCAGGTTCACCGACCTCTCGGTATACAGTGACTGGTGCCTTGTCGATTGATACTGCTACAAGAAGATGCTCCCGTGACGTGCATGGCGTCCGAGTTTCTATTTCACTGATGCTCAGTGTCATTAGGACAAGCAAGCCAAAGTTCGGTACGCAGTGCGTCTTAATAAACTTGCCTGACCGATGGCTGAGACATTTTCTCAGTTAGCAATCGAAGTGGATGTTTGGTGCGCTTCCAAGGAAACTTCATAGAGAAACGACAGCGTACTACGGCATGATCAGAAGCGACGCAGGTATTCCAGTACAAGGGGCAATCCAGGATGAAACTCCGCCACCTGTAACTTACAGCCATGTGTTCAATTTGGGTCCATTGCTGATCATCTACAGGAGGACGTCAGGTGGCGTATCGGCGCCCACTGTGTCTATACTCACTGTGTCAATAACAAGTGTGTTCAAGAGGTGTGCGAGTGCAGCCTGTTGACCTATTTGCCTTAGAGTGCGAACGTTGAACGCCGCCCGGGAAACGGGACATTGCGTACTTATAAGAGACTGTTGCAGGTAGCTGTCCGATGGGTGTTGTGAAAAGGTGGCTGCAGATAGTTCTACACTAGTGGCACTTCGGTTGATGTCAATTAAGCTGGGAATTATGGGAGGGAAGTTAGAAATGAGGGTCGGGATGGGAGTAAGAGAAACACGTAGAACAGAAAGAAATGAGTCGCCAGTTCTAGCATGTTTTCGCTTATCCGCCCTGCTCTATGCAGCAGATTAGGCAACCCTCGATAATCTGCGCGATGGTCGCTGTAGGAGGAATTTTATATTTGAAGAAGAGGGCATGGTTGCATGTGGGCTGAGGTACTGCTACGGCTTCTAGACCTAGACAGCAGGCCGATTAAGGTTTTCAGCCAAAGTCTTGGGCTCAAAAGCCTGTTCGCAGGGCATCGGGGAGGCGGCAATAATTTAGTTTTACAGAAATGGACGCCATCCCATTTCAAACGCCTAACCTGGAGGACTAGAAGCCTGAATTTGTCTGACCTCTAACAATTGACCAACCTGGTAGGAGTAGCTCTCAAGTGGCGCGGAGGCACCACCCAGTATAGTTTAATCGGTCAAGAAGATACGCAAACCGTCGCACCACGTTAAGGTCCAGTCTCTTCGCGACGGTTGTCAAAGCCTTCTATATTTACCACACACGCGCATGAGAACCTGCTGGTTCGGTTCATTTCAGTCTATTTCGTACATGAAGGGCAAAATGAGGCGATAAGCAATATTCTGTTGATCGCTTCAGCAGTTGATTGCTTGGACGATGATGTAGGGTAGCGAACACGAATTGCAGTCTGGAATTTGGACTTATTTATCACTGAGCGTAGCGGCGATGCTGGTGTAATTTTAAATGTAGGAACTCATGGATTTGGAACTCGGCAGGGAACCGAGGAACGCGGACCACTGACGAGACCCAGAACATCGAAACAATCGTCTGGTGCTTTTCCAAACGTTTGGGAACTTGCAAATAAAAGGTACCTTAGGCGGATAGAGCAGGCACAATGCGCGGTAGCTCACAGTTGAACAACGCTTACCTCTGTTTGCATTCATGTCATAATAATATCCTGTATGTCAAGTTTGAGCTTTTTCTGCATTGATGTGACACCAAATAAGAACACCTCAGTGGGTGGTTCGAAACCAAACTGTACCATATGGAAATTATGGTATATAATTGTAGCTGTTTGCTTGTCCGTGAGATGGGTACTACCACACTATTACGTACTACGATCGAAAGTTCTAACGGACACTGAATTGAATAAGTCTTGAACAGCGTCATCCACTCACCTGAGGTTCCTTTGAGGAAGTGAGCACCTGTGAATCGACAAGCCAATCTTCTTCATCAGAACATTCCTTTAACAGATACTCCAACCGAGCCTGTTCTGCATCTGTAAACGGCATAATCTGATTGTGCTTTCCAGCCAGCTGTGAAAAAGGATATGAATAGAAAAGCCTTTACCAGGTCTGCGAAAGTCCAGTATATAAGTAGCAAAATCGTATGATCCATTGTGGTAATGCAGACGAGACGTCTATCCCAGTGGATTCGCGAACGTGAGGCGAATTGAAATCCTCAGACTGCTCAATCATGTCGCACCTTCTCGAAAGTGACCATACTGCATCTGAGAATGATTTAAAGTCATCTACTCACTACCTGAACGCTTCTCGCAAGGCTTCCGAAAGCAAATTTTGTCTAGTGCCGAGGCAATTTACATCCACCATCTGAAGCCGGAATTATGTCTGCCTTAACGGTTTATACGGCGGATTCTACTACCGTGGCCGACTGACATGGTTACTTAATTCCCTTCGTGACCTTTCTTGTTTACTTTAGGTTGCAGAGGCTCGTGTATTAAGTTTCCTTTGGTGCACTTTCTCGCCATCTGTAGCCGCATTCAGTCTTCGATCTTGATCAATCAAACACCTTAACAATCAATCCCAGCCCGATTTGACGCTTGCCCCACACAAGCAGTGTTATGTAAACGTTTGGGTCTGAAGAGAATTTATCGAAAAGAATTCTTAACCTTGCACCGATTTCGGGTATTGATTTATCTGAATATAATGAGAATATTTGCTTGCCGAAAAAATCAGCATTGCCCGTGATTTGTTGAAGATAATGCAGAAGCCGCCGTATTCGCTGCTTTGGAGAAAAATGCGGATGGTGCTGCGTTGCCTACTAAAAAAAACCAATTGATGAATTAAAGGATAGGTTGGTCTGAACTAGCGGATGCACGGATGGTCTCAGGAATGAGATGGAAACTGTTAGAAATTGATATCTTGAAACGAGGTAAATTATGTCCCCACAGCTAACAATAGAAATTGGTATAGGCGAACCCGCTTTATTGCCCACCTCGCTTTATTGTCTAGATTTTCAAAATACATGTGCTTTTCTCATAAATAGACTGAATGTTCACCGCCTACTTGTCTGTTACCGGGGTCGTCCCAACTCTTAATTACCCAGCTGGGTGGGCCATGCTCTTGTCGCTTTGTCAATTTTATGCCCTCTCTTTGACACTTTTATTAAGATTGTTCCACAGTTAGCCAGTCCGATCGAGTCAAGAACAACATGCAGTAACCCCTGAGCTGCGCGTTGTGGCTGAGTTTCAGCAAATGGCGGCATACGTGGTTGGGGTCACTCAATATCTGATACACTAGTATGAGATCGTCGCGCAGCTTTCGATAGCGTCTGCTGAAAATTCCCAGCAACTTCAGCCTTCTGTGGTAAGAGTGATAGCGCAGGCCCTTTACGTTCTTTGTTGCTCTACGTTGTGGTGATTCTAGCGCTTCTAGATCACGTTTCAATCAAGGTTGCCAAGCTTGGATAGCGTATTCAGCATGCAGGCGCACGTAGGAATTGTGCATCATTGGGAAGATTAATGGGTCAAATCTCCCGAATGCCCTTCGCAGCATGCCGATGTGCTGGTTGCCCTTTTTCGCAGCTACCTCAGCCTGTTTTGAACAGTTGAGGTCGCTCTGTACGATCACACTAAGGTCACTTCCCTGGGAGCTGGTCTGCAATCCGTTTGTTTCGAGCAAATATGTATAGTCATGTCTATGGCGTAATTGTACTACGCAATATTTGTCTACGTTGAATGGTAGGGTGTACTGAACTGACCAGTTCGACACCGTGTTAAGATCGCACTTGAGCCGTTCGTGGTCGTCTGGTCCTCTGATCCTTCGCCATATCTTGATATCATCAGCGAAAAATAAAAAATCTGAAGCAATTGATCGCGCCGAATGGTTAGTGAGCACCAAGAATAGACGAGGTCCAAGAACCGAGCCTTGTGGTACTGCACACACCACATCGATTGCATCAGACAATGATAGACTCTCACCACTAGCGGCCGTTCGTATAGAAAATTGCTAATCCAACTCAGCATCGGGTCACCAATGCCTTAGTCCCAAAGCTTCTGAAGGAGAATTCGATGGTCAAAGTGATCAAACGCTTTTAAACATTCCTGAGAGATGACATCGACTCCTATTCCATCATCAACAGCTTCCGTCCAGCTATTACGTGGAATTAATAAGTTAGTATTACACGAATGTTTTCGACGAAAGCCATGTTGTTGTGGGGCTACTAAGTTGTGGTTTTCCGGATACTGCATCAGCGCATCTGCGATGTTTGATCCCATCACTTTGGATAGTAAGGAAGCAGTATTATTGGACGGTAGTTGGTAGGGTCAGTGCGGCTACCTCCTTTAATGGATAGGAATGATGACCCCTCGCTTCCATACTGGTGGAATATGGTTCTCTTCTAGATATCACTGAAAGAAAAGAGACAGTGGTTTTGCTAGATCCCTAGCTGCCGCCTTCAGAGCCTTTTGTCGGATGTTGTCGATTGCTGGAGAACTGTGGATACGCAAGTATAACAACTTCCTCAACATAGCTTCAGCAATGAAGGTGATGTTGTCTAAACCTGATGGTGGAGTAATATAAATGAGAGGAATATTTGGGCTCGTTACCTGCTGGATAGTTTGGAAGTAATGAAGCCGTACGAGATCGGCTGCTTCCATTACTGTTCGCGTGCACCCATCAGCCGTGACTAGTGTTGGAACCCGTCGGTTCACCTTTCGAAGGCCGTTAACGTGCCTGTACAGGAGTTTTCGGTTCGTGCAGAATCACTTCGTTAACGTTTGCTGATGAGTGAAATTGTCTTCGCGGATCAGTTTCACACAGAAGTTAAGCTCTGTCACGTATGAAGTTCAGGTTTCGGCTTTCAAGTAGTCCTGGTGATCTCGACACGCCAAATCCCTCCGGGACATACATTTACGTGTTCTGCTCCTCAGAAAGGACTTCTGTTCCAATGCGTGAACTACCAGTGTCCAACGTCCTTGTAAAGGTTTCCCAGGCAACATCCGGGGGACATTCGGTTAAGAAACTCCCAGATGTATCCCTAACAAGCTGAGATAACACATCGTAGTGCATGACAGTACGCACTATATCAACCTCCTTTTTAAGGTACTCCGCAAAGCATATGTAGTCAAAGAGTAGAGTACCATGATCACTACGACCCAGTGGTGTGTGTGTTTGCAACCATCCCGTCAATCATGAGTTCTTCGTTAGTGAACACAAGAGCCAGCATCGACGGCTTGTTTCCAGTTTGAAATCTGGTGGGAAAGGTTACATGAATGTACAGTGGGTGGCTAGCAATTAGCTCTTGCAAGCAGGCTTTAAACTGCGTACCCTCGGTTGCCGGCGTTTCTACGCCGTGCATGTTAAAGTAACCAGCAATAAGAATGCGGGTGTAGGACTTGTTCAAAGCAAACTGGGAGACGTTGTTCAGTTTGGCATCCATTTCCGACGTTGAGTTTGGTGGGCGGTAAATCACGGCTAGTAGACATGTGACCTTGTTTCACAACCATAGGCGACACCAAAGCGAATCAGGAGCTCGGTTTTCCTGGTGATCGATAACTTCACATCGGAGGTTTGTATTATAGTAAAGAATCACACCACTACCCCTTCCGGTTCTATCGTTTCGAAGCAGCGACATACTGGGTATATTGATCGCAGAATCGGTTATCCGTGGGTTTAACCATGTCTCTGTAATCATGACGAGGTCCCGCGGTTGTGAGGCATGCAGTTCTCCAAGTTCGGCCAACTTACTTAGAATACCTTAAGCGTTTGTGTATATGCAAGATAAAAATTTGTCGTTAGGAGTACGTTGATAGATGTCAACTTTGTGTTAGTTTTTAAGCCGACCGTTAGGTGGCCGGCTATTAATCGATTTTTGGCTTATGAATTTCAGTCAAGTTGCGTGCCATTATTGAGCGTTCCTGAACAGACGTTTCACTCGTGCTATGCTCTGTCCTGTTGGGTGCCGTGGGTGCTGTTGTATCGGACTCTAGCCAGGACGGCGTAAATAAAGCATTTTTAGCGTTTGCAAGTTCCATCGAGTTGCTTCCGACTTTTGGTCGTTCGTCTGCTGTCTTTAGCCGGATCTCTGTTGACAACCTAGCTCGAAACGTTAACCAGATATCCAGCCGAACTTGCGTCATTCCCTCGGAGTGTAGTATTACCTTCATTAGTCTTGGACGGCAGCCCTTGCAGTTGGGTGATGACTGAATTCTTGCCAGGGCTTTGGCAATAAGATTGGCAACATTGGGTGCTTCGCGGATGTAGCACCACTGCTCTAGATCATATGTTTGCGAATTGTGATGGGAAGAATGCAGAAGCTGGGGAAAACCATGAACAAATACTGTTTCCTTGCCATCCCTATTAGGAATGCCGCGTTGCTCAACTGCTTCTTTTAGGCGATCTTTCCAAGGTAGATCAGGTAATATGCGCACTCCACTTGGTGAGTTGCGAAGACGAACTGCTGAGAGCAGGACAGTCTCATATGCTGAGTCTAGTGTTACTCGAAGAATTCGAGGTTCACCAGCGTGCACTGAGGTCGGGTGACACGCTACGCATTGCAGCGTTGCAGGCTCAACCCGAATGTCAATCGCATCGCAAATGGAACTCCACCGGTTACGATCATCTT